GGGGGGGGGGGGGAAGTAACCAAAAGGCCCGAAAAACACAGGTCGAGGGTTCCTTACCAAGTTCTCTCTTGCACGATAGGAAATTTCTTCATGAGGACCTGAGAACAAATAATACCCATCACCATAGTTCATGAAATTGTGTACAAGATTCTGATGGGATTGCTTATCTGACAAGACTTCTACAAATTCTGACATTAAAAAAGAATATAAATATTCAAGCCAAACGGGATATTCTGTTGCTTCTCTTTGAATGGTACCGGTAATCAGATTACAGTATTATTTATTTATTAATTATTTTTTTGGTAAAAGAAACAATTTCATTAGGAAAATTTCGGATTAAAATAGCAAACAGACCATTATTCCTGGAGCACACAAATTTACCCATCAACTTATCCCCAGAAATTTACTATCAAATTACGCACTGTGTGATTTTCAATGGGGCAAACTAAACGATAATGCTCATTTGAGTTAAGTTTAAACTTAACTCAAATAAAAGATAAAAGAATACCAACCTAAAAGATAATTTTTTTCTGATGTTGGAGTCCACCACGGACGTGACTGAAAATCTTCATTGAATGTCAGAGGTTTAGAAGGGATCTCATTAGAAAGCTCAACCAAGCGAATTCCAGATTTCAGGTTCTCAAGAACAGCCTAAAAGAAAGAAGAAATATTGAATCAGTCTGCCTCAAACACATTAAGGCCAAATGAATTTTATATATAAGATGACACAACTTATGTAAGAAGTACCTCCTCTTCTTCAATGCTATGTGCATGTTGCTTTAATCGTAAAATAGATTCTTCAACTTTTGCAACTAGATACTGACTGGAGTTTTGCAATCGTTCTTTAAATTGAACAAATTCAACAACCTGAAGAACAATAGAGTGAGAGCTTTACATAACAGACACTGATGCTAGACGAAGCCAAGGCAGATCATATATTTTAATTGCTTAAAAAGATGTCATTCATTAATTCTTTTACAAGGGACGGGTTAACTAAAAAAGGGGAAAAAATAGAAGAGTTCAGAGGATAAGAATTCCTATGGTGATCACATAATTGTAAAAAGGAAATCAAACAAATGATTTTTGCTCCAATGGATCTTCAAAGAAAAATTACTCCTGATCACACGTGAATTAACTGTCCAAATGGATCTTCAAAGAACTTGTTTCTTTCAATCTATGAAGCCTGTAGTAAAACTATAAAATGGTAAATCATCTAAATATTCGAAGTATCTAGACTATTTTACGCCATCTTGACTAATTTCTCAATACGTTTATATATATGGGTGGATCATCAAACAATTATACAGTCGATATTTATATTTTGTACTATGTGGAAACGGGCATGACACAACAGCAAAGTTCCAAAAGAAAAATCAGTTCGAATGAATTTTATTTCAAAAACGTGGGGATCGAGTGAATGTCAAAACAGATGATCATAGTAGATTCTATCTAATAAACCACCTCATATTATTAAATGTACTATTGGTGAACAATTCCTGTATCTGCACAAGAGGAGGTTGAAAATGCCCAAAAATAGCATATAGCTCTAAGAAAATATAGAAAAACACCGAATACATGGCAAAACAAGTGCATTCTCAAGCATGCAAAACACAGAGAGCATTGTACTTGAGTAAATACTAATTGAGAAAAGTTGAAGGTCTAGCTTGCCAAATTTCGCAATATAATATAATATCCACAAA